AGAACCTTGGCAAAGCCTCAGTTCTCACTCAAATTCTACCCCATCTACCCTCTGGGGTTGAATTTTCCTATCCCACATATACCTAAATCACATAATTTTCAGTATTATTGGTTGGAATTTGTTTGCATCATACACAACATGATTGTAATATTTCATCTCAGTGTATATACATGTACTTAAATCACTGAGTATATTTTATCAGGTTCAGAAATGAGATGCGTGTCCTAGGTGCAAGTATATGTACTAGTTTTACCTTCATTTATGGCCCTCATTTTTCATTACCATGATATAAGAATGCCGTTTTTATTGCAATCTGCTTTACATGGCTTCTGTAGTGTTTACATAATGTATATTTAATAAGATTAGAGCCTAGGATCTTGTACTAGAGATCGATATGAGAGAAATTCAAGTAAATATCAAAACATTATTTTTTTTTCAAATAATTATCCACTGGCAATAACTCCAAAATTTCTTTTCCATTATTTTGACATTCCACAGATACTTATATAGAAAGTGGAATACAGAAAGCAAAGAAAGAATGAAATTAAAGGATATTTTATCTACATTTAATTTACTAATGTAGTCCTAAAGGTGTATAAGTGACCTAGGGATCTTGACCTGAACTCTAATTTCCAACATAACATGTTTAGGAGATTATTTTCGAAATTTCTTGAATTAAATACTGTAGAATTTAAACCTAGCACAGGTAACTGTTATTACAGTTTGTGTTTAGCTAAAGTGTACATATTTAATATTTGTTGAAATATTGTTTATTTATAAATGATATGTGCATATCATTTTATCTGTAATAGTTCAGTAAAACTGGTCATTGTTTACCAATGTTACAAAAAATGAAATATTGTTAATAGCTAAGAAGTGTTAACAACAAAAGCAATTTGTTTGTGAATTATTTTTGAAAATAAATAAAATGTGAGTTTATAAAACACACTGCTTGTTGCTTTATGATTTTGTCCTTAAAAGCTGGTTTTTTTGTATGTAAGGATTATATAATTACTTAATCAATATTACTCCTAAATGTGTAGCTTGACAATTATTGAAAGCAGAAAAGATAATATCATGTCGATTTGCTCTACAATTTTGATTAGAGTGGACTTGTATGGTATAATTAGTGATGTAGTTGTGTAAACATGTACTGTTTATTTCTTTTTAAAACAATTATGAAACAAGCTATTTCAACTATACATGTTAAAAACTAACTTTAATATTACAAGAATGTAAACATATACTGTATACATGTTCAAAACTATTTTTGTGTCAATGTTATTTTCACAAAATCAAAGCTGTACACGTAATTTCACCCTTTCACCCCTATATAACTTCAGTAGACTTTTCCATGCACTGATCTGGATGAATCCATTATGGTCTACAGTGGTGAAAGGGATGAAGAATATGCTTGATCACACTGCTACAGTTCTTTGTATGCCAACAGGTACTATTTTATGTCAACTGACAAATTCACTTCTCTTTCTACCATCAAGTACAATCTTAATATGTCTACTGACAGGTGCCGTTTCACTCCGTAGTATTCCCACATTCTCTGATCACCTGACAGGTTAAGTTGCTGGTCTACTGGGTATACCTGTATACCGTGGTGTGCATAAACACATACAGTCTGTATATTCACGGAATTAGATTATCTAAGTCCGTGGTATTTCCTTCATGTTTCTTTCTCGCACATTCAAATTGTGTGTGGCATTACACAACATTGCCGTTGAGGTAAGGCATCATAAAAACTGACGAAAACAGAGTTATTTATTTCTTAGAAATCTGATTTATTACATAATTTTTGAATTTACCGATACATACACAAGGAATTATCCAATTTTAAATTATAAACAAATAAACAACTGATAATAACATAGAAATTATCTTTTAAATGTTAATAGAATACATCAATAAATTAACGCTCAACATCACACGATTGATGTAAGGCTTTGCCTTTTTCATTGAATCTTTCATTACTCAATGATTTGAAAATTCACAAGTTTCTCCAAAGGGACACATTAGCAAAACAATAAAAGCAAATATACAAGTCTGTATTCAAACTCAAAATGAAAGAAAGGAAAGACATTATTGTCAGATATACATGTATTTTGATTTCTAAATATAATGTAGAGGTATTTATGACCTCATTATCCTATGTTAAACAATTTATATCATGAACAAACTTCTAATAAAACACAGACCTTCAAGTTATACAATTTAACACGCATTTGAGACCAATCAGAAATTACGTAAAATTCTATCAAGGGCTGGTTATCTGGTTACTGAGTTAAACTGCTTATACATACATTGTATGCTGCTGTGTATCAGACAATCCGTATCATCAATATCAATATCAATATGTTGGGAGACCTATTAATATTGTAAACATATATTTTTTTTAATACAACAAATGAGTTTTACTTCCAGGCCTCGATTTTCCTAGAGTCAAATATCCTAAAATTATACACGTATTATCCAAATAGAATAAAAGTTACATGTAGATAAGAACATTTATTATCAGTAATGCTGCATTTTAGTAACTGGACTATTCCAATATTTGCTGCACTGGATAAGAAATTTCAAATGAATTTATACACTACACAAGCATATTTTAAATTAATACATAAGATGGACAAAATATAACATATCAAATTAATTAATTTACAGTGTTCTCCACTTGCTCTGAATGACCCATTATATTCTGTATTCAATATAAAAGTGACATTTTCAAAATCTGACACTTGAAACTATATGCACAGTGGAAATATTCATATTTCATAGTCACTAAGTGGGTCAATAATGTTTGCACATGTGTACATTTTCGAACTGATTTAGTAAACGTGAAATTAGCGAAAATTACTTAAACTGTAGGGCCTTTAATAAGTTTATATGACATCAAGAAATTTACCTAAAGCGTTCATCTTAGCAAAACTCATATAAGAGGAAACTTTGGAGCCAATTAAAAGTGTTATAACTTACCAGGTATATGAAATCAGAAAAATTTTGAAAAAAGAAGAGAGTGATACAATTGTATCAGGTTACATAAATCTTATTTAATCTAACTCTAGTATGGGACTTTTGAAATCACTACGGGCTGTAAGCTTTAAGTCACAAAGTACAGATCATGATCACAGTACAAGATTTTGGTGTACCTACAGCACACTCAATAGGTCATCTCTTACAGGAGTAAGTCACTTTCTATCAGCCGACAAGGTCATCAATATCTGAGAAAGAAGCCTAGTCCAGAGTACCAAAATTGAGTACAGTGACCTATGGAAAACAGCTACTAATTTGTGAAATCATCCATCTGCTTTTTCAGAGGGGCCAAAACTCTGGCCACATTTAAAAATATAGTCAAAGCTTATCTGTTAATGGATCATTTAGCACAGACAGTCAAGGTTTTCTAACACTGATTTGGACAAGGTATGGAGAGCAAAGAGCTAATTTGGATAAACAAAACAACAACAAAAAGTATAAACACGGGTGTATCTAACAAAATATAATAAGTCACCCTTACATGATGTATACATCTCTATAAAACGCCTCAAAGTGATTTCTAAATAATTGTTTGGGGTTCAACATCCTTACAACAGCCAGGGTCATATGGAGACAGGCTTTTTATAATTACAAGGATCACTATATAAATGTTGTGCATTACTATGGCAAACAAAAACAAGAGGCCCATGGGCCTTAACGGTCACCTGAGTCTACAGTATTTTTGTTTGTTTGTTGAAATATGTACCAATTTGAGTAAAAAATAGTATAATGTTAACTTAACTTTGTCAGGACCATGAGCTGATCATTCCTAGACCAATTTTAAGTGAGATCGGCCTATTAGAATTTAGTAGCAAAATAGCGGCCATGGCAGCCAAATTGTATTTCTGAAAAATAACAACACTTTGTCAGGACCATGAGCTGATCATTCCTACAAAGTTTCAGTTCAATCGGCCTAGCAGAACTTGACTTTAAGTTTGAAATAG